CAGGAATGCTACGAAGCGCACCTGAAAAAGCTCTGGGGCGCACCAGTGCGCCCGGGCGCACTGTTTGAGAACCACTGACTTACAGTACAGATTGAGTCACCTGTGCTAGGAGGGGGTATTGCAGTGCTGTTGGTGGAGGGTTGCATGCTGCAGCATAGCTATACCATGTGTAAACATACGAGGGTAGGTGGGAGTATCAAGGCTAGTGGAGAGTGAAAATAGTGCACATAGAGGGCAGCAAAAGTTGAGAAAAACTATTATGTGAGAGAAGGAGGTAAGTATCTATTGGAAATACATTTTCAGGGTGGTAAAATGTTAACTTCTATTTTTATTTAATTAGAACAGTTTTTCTCCTTGTTGGTGTAGCTACTTTTTTTAGATCACCTTGTTTTGTCATTTAGAATATATACTTTACTATGATTGTTGTAGCTTCAATGGTAAAATTTGTTTTTTAATAGGGACATTATTAGACAATCAGTGAATGCTGGTGAACAAGATGCAGTGATATTTGTTGGAAATGGGTGTACAGCAGCAATCCATAAAATGATTAGTGCTTTGAACTTAAAGAAGAGTCCGGTAAAAAAATTACTATGAAAAATAGTGGTTAAATTTAGATTTTTTCAAAAAAAGAGTGAAAAATATTCTAGATTATTTTTATGTGAAACAGATTTACATTTATTGTAATCATTTGAATAGTGGTACTTTGTTTGTAAGTGAAATACTGGTACTTTGTAAGTGAAATACTGGTACTTTGTAAGTGAAATACTGGTACTTTGTAAATGAAATACTGGTACTTTGTTTGTAAATGAAATACTGTACTTGCTTGAATATAGGCTACACAACAGTTTGATACAAATGTATATAACATTCTACCATTTTGTCCTATTCATTAGAGCTGAGCAAATAATGGAATTTGATAATTGATTAATCATTGTGATAATTAATAGATTACATTTAACTAATCGAGTATTCTCACACGAGGCTTGAATAGTTGGAATGATCAAAATTTCAATTATTTCATTATTTTTGTAAGCTGTGACACTGATTAAGTTGAACAACCTTGAATTAATTGAAAATAATGAGAAATCATAATGGAAATTTTTATATTACTTGGGTGGTTGGAATAATTTAACACAATAATAAATGGAAACAGTAATTTTGATTAGTAGATTATTTTCATAACATTAATCAGTTTAATTGTAATTTCAGTTAATTGATTATTTTCTATAACAACAATTGATCTAATTGCTGTTCATTGGTAATCAATTAAATTGAATCTGTTAATCATCCAGCTCTACCATTCATTACTATCTTTGTAGTTAAAAATATATATATTGTTAGAAAATTTATAATATAAATGTGTTAATTATATTTATGTAAATTAAATTATTAATGTTTTTTTACTCTTGTTTCTCTGTACTGTTTTTCAGTTAAATTCAAAATTTAAATGTTTTAAGTGTGAATCTTGTCTGGAAGGAAATTAATGTTCACTTTGATTTTGGAGTTACTAATGAAAGTATTACTTATAAGATTTATAAATTGATAGTTGAATCAAGACTTGCACTGAGATACAAGAAATTAGTTTTATGAATAGTTTATTACTTCAGTTATTAATTATTATTCATAACTGTTAGATAACAGTAAATGCCAAACTAAATCTAATTATTGTTTTTAAGAGGTGAACAAACTATAAAAAGCTACATATGCATCATGACTTACTCTATTTATGTTATTTATTAACCTTTACACTGTCATTTTCTTCAGTAAGTAAATTGTTTGTCAAAATTATTAAAATTATTCATATGTTTTGTGGTTAATTTGTACAATATTTTCATGGAGAATTTGTTTCCACAGACTGTCTTTTTAGGACCATATGAACATCATTCCAACTTGTTACCATGGCGAGAGATTGGGGCAGAGGTAAGTCCTAATGTTGGGAGCAGTTTCACATCATGAATATAACAACATATGGAGTTATGTGTGTTTATTCTGATCAGAACGTTGTTTTAATTTCTTTGTCCAAACAAGTTTGTACTTAACCAATAACTAACAAATAGGAATAATATTGTTGAAAGTAAATACTGCTTGATCATTGTAATAATTCAGAAATCTTTGTCATTAATGTTAGCTTTGTATTGACTATAAATTGTAAAATGAAGAATCAGTGCATCTTTCAACTAGATTTCAAAACACTGAGAAAAAAAAAGGATTTGCTTTGAAATGCTATTAATTCTTTGGACATTTGCACTGAAACAGAAATTGAATGAGTCAATGAATTAGTGATTACTCAGTGTTTTTTTCCTCTAATGCTTGACTCTAATGTTTCTGTTTAATAATTTTGTAAATTATCTAAAGTCGTAATATAAAGTGATTATATTTTTCATGAACTTTTAAGCTAATATAAGTATGTACTAAAATGCACATGTCTGGCATGGCCTGATGGTTAAGGTGCTTGACTCACAATCTGCAGGCCGTGGATTTGAATCCCTGTCACTGAACATGTTTGCCCTTTCAGCTAGGGAGGGTGGTGTTATAATGTGATGATCAATCCCACAGTTCATTGGTAAAAAAGCAGCCCAAGTGTTGGCAGTGCGTGGTGTTGACTAGCTGTCTTCATTAGTCTATCACTGTTAAATTAGGCATGGCTAGTGCAGGTAGCCCTTGAGTAGCTTTGTATGAAATTCAAACCAAACTATAATGCACTATATCAGGCATAATTTTAGAAGGAGTGCTTGCAAAATATTTTATCCTGTAATCTGATATTACTTAGAGAGTTAGAAGTAGTACTTAAGAGTGATAGCAAAAACTAAATATTATTTGCTATTTTAGGAAGGATGTGCATAATTAAACAGAGTATTCTACTAAAATGGAGTACTACAGCTATTGTTATTAAATGATAGATAATGTGGCTTTGAAGGTTTTGGAAACAGGTAAGTCTCGTATTTATTTTGTATTGTTACTCAGTGTCTTAATTCTTTATTGTAGGTAATTAGGATAAAAGAAGATTCAGGTGGATATATAGATCTCAGTCATTTAGAACATGAACTCAAGGTAGGTTTTATAAGGAAAGTCAATATTTTGTATCATATAAACTAAACATCATTATTTTAGTTGTTAATTTAAAAATTGTTCTTTATGAGGTTAAACTTTATTTGTCACTGATTGCTTCTAAACAGTTGGATTTATGGTGTAAAGTTCAAATGTTATAGTGAAGCTATGTAAAAGAAATTAAAATCAGATATAAAAACTGAAGGGCAGTTTTAGATTTTATTTGTTGTGATATTTTGTACAAGACTTATTTAAGAAAATAGTGTAAAAAAATTTCTTGAAGTCTCTTGTATTTATGTTATTTTTCAATGATCCTTTTCTTTTCGTTTATTATTTTCTTCAATAATTAAATCTCGTAGCAAACATTTTGAGCAGAACTTGAAAGCTTGAAAATACAAATAAGATGAAAATAAACCTGATGCATTGTTTTTTTTTCCTGTTGAGCATTATTTCCTATTTGTCTTTTTTTTATTATGATAAAATAAAGAAACCATTATATATTTTTTCTAAATTTTAGATGCACCAAGAAGATGGAAAGCTGTTAATTGGTAGTTTTGCTGCAGCTTCCAATGTTACTGGAATTCTTTCTGATGTTAATACTGTATCATCACTGCTACACAAACATGGAGCACTTGCTTTCTGGGATTATGCTTCTTCAGCTCCATATGTAGACATCGACATGAACCCTGTTGTTTCTGGGTAAGTGGAGTCGTGTTCTTTTTTTTTGTATTTTCATATGGTATACCTAAAACATTAAGTTAATGTTTAGATAGCTAAACATTTTTGGAAAACTATATTATTGCAGTTCTGAGGAAACCTCTTGATAATGCTGTACTGGTGGAGTCATATATTGTGCCTCCTAGTGGTTCAGTGGTAAGAGGTAAACAAAAACTATATATATAGTTCTTTGCAAATCATTGTTTTTTCAGTGTTCAGTAAAGGTATACATGAATTGTGTTGCCTGAACTGGGAATACAGCTATTAAGTCAAACTAGAGGAAATTCCAAAATACCATTTGTGTTTTGATAAAATGCTGACCCATTGACCCTTTACATCTGGGCATGGCTCCTTTACACATGTAATGATCTCTTTCAAATTATAGTTTACATTCAAAATTTAATTAAACAAATTTGTTATCAGTACTAGTATAAAAGCCTGTCAAAAATGATGGGAAATCAGTGTTGAATGATTGATGAAAATTATAGAATTTAACTAAAACGAATTTGTCTGTACTTCCAAAATGCACCTACTCTTCACTTATTTCGTCAGTCTTGAAGTAATTCTTTAACCATCTCATTTTTGGTAAAAACTATGCAGAAAAATGAAATGTTATCATGAACAAAAGGATGGGTGCACTCTGAAAGAGACTTAAATAGCACTCTTGAGCCTTTTCACTGTATTCTAGGTCAGGAAATAGAAAACATAGTACAGACATTCTGAAATAAATTTTCAGCTGTTTTGACTCTACAGAGGATAAAAGATATTTACTAGTAATAAACGTATATTTTTCTTTATGTTTTAAGGTCAAGTAGGTAATATATGTGCTAAAATACCAAAAGAATGTTTATTAATTAACATTTATTCACCACTTAAAACTTTTTAAACACTGACTCTATAACATTAGTAATAGTAGGCCTATTTGTAGTGTAATTTAATACATAGAGATAATGTAAGGCTTAGCTGAAACACTACTTGGTAAATTTTATTTTGCTTTTGCCTACAACTTAATGTCATAAGACTTCTGAATTACATTATTTTGATGTTATATCACTGAAGTTATCAAAAAATAAAGAATAAAAAACAAACCTCTCTAACAAATCATCATGAATATTGAGCATTCAACATAAACATCATAGTTGGCCTAAGAACAATCAAGTGATAGTTTTGTTGCTAAGCTATGATGTATATGTTTGAGCATTACCAAAAAAGAAAAGTGAAAGTGTTTTCGACAGAGTGACAAATAGAATAAGCCTTTTATAGTTAGTGATATGTCGATACACTTTGCAAGAAAATGTAGTTTATAATTCAAATTTTTATATTAACTGAGTTTTAACTTTTTAATTTTGAAACTAAACATTTGAAAAATTCCCAACTTTAATTCTTCTGTGTCATGTGACATGTCTGAGTTACGATTTCTCTTTTTTAGAATTTTGTAACTTCAAAAATAGGCTGTTGCATTTTACAACCAATTTTAAACACAAATTAAACATAATTGCAAGCAAGAATCTAAAATTTGCACTTCTTATCTTCTTAATATGCTGAGGTATTAATAAATTTGTCAAAACCCTCCCTTCTCTCTCTTTTTAACTTTTGTGATTGTTTTGCTAAGTAACTTTACCTGGCTGACAGACATATTTATAGTCAGTAGCAAGAGCAATTCTTCTCTATATAAGGCTTATTACAATTATTTGATTTTAGCAAGCATAAGTACACAGGTGGACATAGTTTCTTTATGTGTGACTAATGTTATCCTATTCTGAACAACAATAAAATTTACTTAGAAACCAGGTAAATTACAGTAGTTTTGAGACATTTTTTCTAGTGACTGATCTAGTTTGTGTGTTTGAAAATGCATATTTAAAAGCTACATGAACTCTTTTTTTTGGACACTTATAGTTATGACATTCAATGAGGTTTTGGGACAAATGGCTTTCATTTTTACCAAAGTGCAAACAAGCACAGTTATGCAATGGGACTACAATTCCTAGTTTGTTATGTATTATTTTATCAATTATTATATATTTTTTTAACAAAAGCAACTAAATTGTAAAAAAAATTAGAAACTTAAATTTAGTCTAACAAAACTTCAGTAAAATAAAATGTTTAAAATTTCATAAGTTCAAGTCTATACTGGAATATGAACATAGTACTTGCACATTTAGCATGCTGTTTCTGGTAGGTTGTAGGTCTACCAGAAATAGCCTATGGGCTGTTTCATGATTTACTCTATATATATAGTCATGGTAATTTTTACCAACCTTATAACCACCATGTAACCATGGGAATACTTTAGGTATATGGATAGTTTTTTCTGTTGGTCAGAAAACAGTAAATAAAACAAGTATTTTCAGTAACTAGTAAGTTCTTCAAAAGCACTGGTCACTGCTTGACATTGTCTCTGCATACTCTGGATGATTATCTCTTGCAAGCGGTTCCAATCCTCCCAGCTTTTGAAGAGTCATGGACTCAACAGGGTGGGCCAAAACAACATTTGAAAGACTACATTATTTAAACTCCTCCTGGACCAAAACATGGCATGGTGACATTATCATCCATAAGATGAAGTCATCACCAGGGGCTCCAGTATACAGCCTCTTGTAAACATGTAGGATCTCAGCTATGATAGCATTGTGATCATAATTCCAAAATCATCTCCAAACTTTAGCATAATGGTCTGTGAAATTAAGGCAAATTCTTTTCTAGTCCAATCCAGTTAGTTTTGAGCCCAATATCTACTTTTTCCCTGTTGCTGGATCAACAGGATCCTAATACAGGCTTTTTTGTGACAGTGAACTAGCCAGCACAGGTTTATTATTGATAGTTTAGGTTAATCAAAGAACTTTGGATCTATTTTGTATGTCACAACAGAGCTTCTTTGCTATCTTAAAAGTGTCTTGGAAGGCCTATATGGTCAGGAAGCACTTTTGTCTTAGGTTTTTTGTGCTTTTCAGGTATCACTTTACATTTCCATTGATTCTGTGCTGGTTCTAACCAAAGGAAACAAACAGTTTAAATCACACACCTGTTTATAGTGAAGCTAAGTGAAGAAATTAGAATCAGTTATAAAAACTTCAGGAATGTTATCATGGATTTTATTTGTTGGATAGCCAACCAGGAAATGTAGCCCTTTTTTCATAGTGAAGTTAAGACTGACTTTCTTATTGTTTTGTGTATTGATAAACTAGGACTCGATAGTTAAAAACAAAAAAAAAGTGTTAATATCTATATATTAGCCAGTCATCAATGCAATCAGTCCATTGGTCTGGCCCTGTATCTGTGAAGCTATAAATGGTTACAATAATTCTGAATTTATTGCATGTACCTCCATAAAGTTTGGCAAGCTTTTATTAAACGTTACAAGTCTCTTGTACACAAAAAATCAGGTTCTTTTTAATAAAGTATTTTTACTAAAGATTTGTTTGCGAATTTATAAAGCCTTTACTGAGTCAGTAAGACTCAGACTCTTACTAGACTGAGTGGAAGGTGATTTTCATGTTAAGAATAAAATTCCATTTTTTCATTTTACACTTTTTATATTTCATTTTATCTGTTATTTTATCATAACATTAACTGTAGTGAAATCATCAGTGTACAGTGAAATGAATAGTTTTTTTCTTCGTAGAATGGATCACTTCATGGATGAATGGTTTTGTCTTCACAGTTTCCACTATTAATATTTTTATATCTGTTTCCTTTAATTTCATGATTTTATTGCTGTATTTCATACTAACTTAATCCTCCTGTCAAGCAGCAATAAATCACAGTAATAGATCATTAGCACTTATCGTAAACACTACGAGCAAAGTGCATAATCCGTGCGATCTTTGCAAATGCAAGCTATATCTGTGTTAGGTCTCTCTTTTTTGTCACTAAGTTAATACGTTTCTTCTTAAAATACAAGTTCATGTAGCTTTTAAATATGCATTATAGAACAGAAAAATTATATCAGGCACTACAAAAAAAAATGTCTCAAAACTACTATAAGTTAACTGGCTTTCTAACTAAGCTGTAAATAGGTTTAAAAAAATAACTTTAGCTGCTCGAAGCTGAACATAAGCCATCTGGGGTGAATTGTCTGCATATTCCTGCTAAAAAGAAATAATTGTAATAAGATTCTATCAACCACAAAACTGCTCTTTCTATTGGTTATAAACATGCAGACTGAAAATTTATTTAAATATTTCTCTCTGAAGCTAAGAAATTAAAATGTATGTAATAGAAAACTGAATTATGAACTACCTTTTAATGCCTAGTTTATTCACATATATTGATAATAAAGTTTAATTAAATTTTGAATGTAAGTAAAAGACCATGAACACAATGACCTAGCCAGGATCACAAGATTAATATTTATTATGTATTTGTCTGTTTTTGTTTGCACCATAGTGTGCCTTGCAACATTCCCTATGAGAAATACTGTGTTGTCACTGAATTATTAACTAGAAACATCACAATCTGACAGAAAATTTGCACTTGAACATAACATAATGTAAGACTTAAGTAATTTAGAAATGGTCAGGAACTATATGAATTATTCAGAAGTTTTAGTGTGCTAATTTACAAAATTATTTCCCTTTGACTATTGTATTTATGTTCTTACTTTTTATAATCCTTTGTATTAAAAATAAAACTGTGATTTATAGGCTTGATGAAGGATTAGTGTACAAAGATGCCATTTTTATTTCTCCACATAAATTTGTTGGTGGTCCTGATACCCCTGGTGAGTTTTACTTTCTTTTTTGCTATAGATCAATTTTATACCATTTTGAATTGAAGTTTTTTTTTCTTTTTCAATAAATGTACATGTATTCAAATTCGATGACGAGGAACCCACTTTGAGACTAATAATGGCTGGAGACGGCTTGAATGGGTAATGAACCTGATGATGACAAAACCTCGTGGAAACGTTGTACATTTGCTCTTATGTTAAACTTATATTAAAGTTTTTCTTCATTACCCATTCAAGCCGTCTCCAGCCATTATTAAATGTACATGTACTTGCGTGTAAAATAAAAATATTTGAATTTTTATGGTAATGTTCATACTATATATATTGATTAAGAAAATAGTTAGGCCAGGTGAGGCCTAGTGTTAAAATGGCAGACTGTGGATCTGAGGGTCTATGATTCACATCCTATTGCTCTTTTGGGCTGTTGGGTGAATTAAGAGAGTGATGTTCAAATTTTGCTATTCAATTAGAATAACCCAAGAGTTGGTGATTGGTGCTGTTGGTTAGCTGCCTTCCCTCCAGTTTAAAAGTTCAAAATTAGGGACAGCTAGTGCAGATAACTCTCGTATAGCTTTGAGTGAAAGAAAAAGAAAATAGAGAATTAACATTTTTACACGCAGCTGTTGATAGCATAATTTGTCAGTCAGTCATCATTTGACGGCTGCTTTTGTTAGACCTAGCGTCAACTTTAGAAGTATAAAATTATGCTTATTCTAATATGGTCACATGCAATATTTTCAGAAGCTGTTTTAAACTTCATAAGCAAAACTCGAAATTGAAATAAAAGTGAAGTTTACTGCCATGCATAAAGTCTACATCTTTCTGATTAATAAAACTTCACTACGTCAAGCTGATCTGGATGTTTTAAGTCCAATTTTTTTATTTTTCACAAGCTATTTATAGCATGAGTTTTTAGATATTTTAAATTGAGATTTAAAATTCTAAAAGCATTAAATATTTTTAAACATAAACCACCACCAACACCTTCATTCATGTTTTAACATTGATTATTAACTATAATAATAAAAATGTAACATTCTTTGATTTTAAGCATACCTATGATTAAATTGTAAACATTATTTTGTCTCTTAATGATTCATTTTTTTTTCTGGAAATTTGTAGTTTTAGAAGTCTATGATATGTTTATTAACAGAAAGTTTTTTCAAGTACTTTAAAATATTTGTTGAAGCTAATATGATCTCCCAGTTACTGATGTGATATATATATAGGTTTGAATAATGAATTATTGAAAATTCTATAAAGAGCTGTTTATATAGATATTGCATATGGTATTTGATATAAAATCTTTGTTGAAATACCATCTTTCAAGTAATGACTATTTAAAAACAAACATGGCTATATGTAGTAAAAAGAAGATCTTTGAACTTTAAGGTTATGTTCAGTATTATAAAAATGTAAAATCAAGATTGTAATAAATGGTTGATTCAGTGTAGTAAGAAATTTATGTGTGAAATTAAAAGCTGTATTCAGTGAAATATTTTTTCCAATAAATTTTAGGTATTTTAGTAGCCAAGAAAAAACTGTTCACAAATCCAGTTCCCTCAGGATGTGGTGGTGGCACAGTGTTTTTTGTAAGTTGTATTATTTTGAAACAGAAAACATTGAGTAATTATTATTATTTGAACTAATTTACAAATTTGAAGTTACGTTGAGAAATACATAACGAGAAGTTTTTTCCTTTTTGATTGGTGTATTTTGATATACTGCAGATAATGTTACATCACTTATTTTAGACAATGTAATTCAGTAAATAAATTTATTAATGTAGAAAGAAAGGTTCATCAGCTACAAGAAATTGATATGACTGATGATACCATCTGTTTGTTGTTGGTGACCTAAAGAATGTGTAATAAAATGAAATTCAAATACCTTAAACATTTTATGTATAATATTGTTTATTTTTTGTACTATGTATTGATATTAACTATTGTTCTGCCAGAGTATTTGTTTGTGAATGAGTTTAACACTGTTGAAATATCTGCATGCAAACCAAAGAAACTTTTATGTAGTCATTATAACATAAAACTTGCTAAATTGGAATGTGTGATCTCAACAAGGTGACAAGAGAAACTCACCGTTATCTGCAAGAGGTGGAAATGCGAGAAGAAGGAGGAACACCTTCTATTGTTGGAACGATCAGAGCAGGTTTGGTCTTCCAGTTGAAAGATTCTGTTACAACAGAAGTTATCATGCAGCGGAGAATGAAATCTGTCGGTGGGTGTTTACAAATAATATATCTGAGAAGCTAAGACTGAACATTTTGTTTCTTGAAACATCTTAAAATAATTAATACTAAATTCAAAAAATGTGCATATATGGATTTTTTTCATGTCATTGGACCAACTTAATAATAAAAATAAGATCCTTTTTCTCTGTGTAAAACTTTATTGATTTTTTTTTTTTAAATTAGATTATTTTTCTGTTAGAGATTCTCAAATCCTAATAGAAAAGAAAAATGCAAATTGCTTTTTTCTGAATTACTAACAATGTCGGTGGTGTATTATTTCAGGAAAGCTCTAGATGCTTGGAGTTCTGTTCCTGAGTTGATAATCCTAGGAAGTCTCACAGCTATTCGCTTACCAATTTTTTCTTTTGTTGTCCAACATATTGCCTCAGGCCTTTTTCTTCACCATAATTTTGTTAGTGTGCTTTTGAATGACCTCTTTGGTATTCAGGTACGGGGAGGTTGTGCTTGTGCTGGACCTTATGCTGAGGATCTTTTGGGGATAGATGAGAAAATGGCAATCCACATTGAAAATCTTTTAGCTGAAGACAAGTATGTGATAATATTATATATAGATATTGGATAGATTCACATAATATCATAAGCATTAATTTTAAGTCTGGATGGAAAGAAGAAAAATTTTAATTAGATTTGTTACTTCTATAAGTTAAAGAAAAATGTATGCTCATAATGAATTAAAATACATGAGTTTATAGTAACTTGCTTGACTAGATAGCAAACATAAGAATGCTTGCACTAAGAATATCATTTGTTCAAGAAGGTACTTGTAGAGATAGTTGAGTACATTATATTAACATGATTTTTGATTATACAAATCAGCAATTCACACGATAACCACAGCTGATATAAAGTCACAGTGGAATGGTATGTATCAGAACTATATTTAGACATTGTTTGGTATTTCGTAGGTAGTGAGTTGCCACTGAAAATTCATTTTTGAGAGAGATAAGTAACAGATCTTTTTGTTGCAAGATATTTATACACTTAGATCATTAAGATGTGTTCAGATCAAGGATTTAGAATCTCTAAAATATGGATATCTCTTGTACTTAATAAAAGTGGAAAACCTTATAAGGTATATGGTACTAGGACCATCCAGAGAGAGACCTGCAACAAGATGTACTCCATCAATGGGGCTCCCCAGTGACTCAACAGTAAGTCTGAAGGCTTATAAAATTAAATACTGGTTTTCAACTACTCATGGTGGGCACAGCAAATATAGCCCATTGTGTAGCTTTGTGCTTAACAACAAGCAAAACCTGCCATGGGAAGCATAGTGAATCTTGTATCAGGTAAGAATTTACAAACACAAAGGTCAGTGACAAAAGATATCTGTGTGACCCAAGCAACAGCATGTAATATAATCAAAAAGGATCTCCATTTGGAAAAACAACACAAATCATGTTTACACAAGTTCATTCCACTACATACCTGTTCAGCTGTTACATACCTCAAAAAGTTGGAGAATGAAATGATATTTATGCTATCCTATATGAAGATATAAAGTAAAGTGATCAGACATAATGCCCATGGATTTCTGTGTGATCGGACTGTTGAAATGGACGCTGGAAAACTCTTACAGTAGATGGACTATGGAAAGCAGCTAGGAAGAGTGGTGTGCTTTGGACCTGACAGTTTTACGATGAAGCTTTTTCAGTAGAAATATGGAAACTACGATGTAGGACTATCATCAAGATGCATGTTCATCAGATAGAACATGAATGGTCATGGCGACATGGACTATAAAAACTTGTTGAGACTCCAAATTGTTCATATAATGTACTCAACTTCTACAAGTAAGAATATTACTGAATGTGTTTGAACATTATATCAAAGTTGTGGTATTTTGTCATCTGTAACACGATTAATAGTTATATGGACATAATAGAACATACAAAGGTTTTTTTAGTGGTTAAATGGTATTTTAATTTCAAAGGTTGACATTTTCTTTTATGATTAAGTAATCTAAACAATGCAGAGTTTAAAAACACATTTACATTTCAAAGTTTAATTATTTTCTGTATGGCTTCAACAAAAATTTTAATACATTTGTAGGGGATTCTGTATATTTGATGCTTGTCAATTGAAACAGTTATAATTATCTTTGACCCCCAGTGACTCAGCAGTAAGTCTGAGGGCTCATACTGCTAAAAAAATGGTTTTGATACAACATAAATAGTCTATTGTATAGCTTTGTGCTTAACACTAAACAAACAAAACATAACTGTTTTTCTGTTTGCCTGGTGAGTCATATAATGACTTGTGGTATGTTTTTATTTACTGATCATGCACTTCTGATGTTTCCTAATCTAATTTTGAAAGGTATTGCATGTGCAGTAAAATATTCCTATACGTATCAAATTTTGGGTTCAGTGCCCTGCAGTGGGCACAGCACAGGCAGCTTACTGTGCAGTTTTGCTCTTAAAAACAAACAAGTAATGGAAAGTTAAAACAGGTGTTAAAATCATCATTTCCAGTATGTGTATCTGAAAGTTGCAAAGTTTTGTTTGTTATTGCATTCTTTGATGTCTCCCATTGAGACAGCAGTACATTTACAGACTTACAACACTAAAATTGTAGTTTCATTCCCTGCAGTGGATACAGCAGATTGTCCAATGTGGCTTGGCAAAGCATTCTTTAATGTATTTAAGAAAGTAATCCAAAAAAAATAAACATTGTATAATAGTATTATGGTTTTTATTCTGCTTCATACATTTTGGGTTCCATACAAAGAAGCTTTTTATTGTTATGTGAAATTAAACCAAAATAAATGGAGACAGCTTTAATTGAATGTATACTAATTCAAGAACAGTAATACCCCATTTAGCACTCAAAAAATGTGACAGATGAGCATGGCAGGAGAGGTCATATTTTCTATTTGATGGCTCTGTAACCAAACGGATTGAATGCTAATAAACATTTTCTCGTGATGATGATATTATAGTGAGTAATTTACGTTAAATTTACCTAACTAAATCACTTATACATCATTCACATGTAAGAAACGATACCTTCAGTTACAATCTCCATATATGTAATGTTAAAATTACCCTGTTTAGAGCCGATTCTCAGGAACCCTTCCCCTTTCAGGATTTGTCAATACATGTAGTTCTCTCTTACGTTTATGACCGTATTAATTATAACCAATAAACAGGCAAAGCTTTCATCTATCAAATGATGTATTATATTACATTGTCTTGTGTACCGAAATTTGTAGATTGTTTCCTAAGAAAATGTTTGTTTCCGTTGGAAACAATATTGTGTAGATGGCTGACATTTTAACGGTTCATAATGCGTTGCTAGAAACACCGGAAAAATTGTGATAGTTATGGGACATTGTTTTTTGTATGTTATTATTCTGTATTCTTTGTTACATTATTTTATTAAATAAAACTGATTTAGTGCACTACTACAATTATTTTGAAAAAGTATTGTTTAGAAAGCTATGGATTTTCATAATTTTTCTTCCTCTCTCGTAAAAAAAATAATCTCTCAAGGATACAAGAGCTCTATAATGAATCAGCTTAAAGTAGGGTCTTACTGTATTATCAAGTTTGTACTTAGAATTTTCCATCAAAAGAATAAAATATAATTTTTTGTCAAGAGTTGTGCAGTTTTAACAATGTGTTATGCTTTTACTGCTGTGCAGCATTAACTGACTTAGTCTAAACATTTCAATGTCACAAAGCAGTGCTTTAACATAAGCAACTACTTACTTACAAAAATGGTTTTACCTTGAACCAAGAATAGTTCATTATAATTTGATTGGTGAATGTTTCACTATATTAATAACAAATTGAAAGGTATCAAAATATCACATTATCTTTCTACAGAACTTTAGATCGTTTAAATTTACGACGCTATAAAGAGTATTCAGAAAGAGAGATTTTAAGACCAGGATTTGTAAGATTAAACTTTCCATACTTCATGCCGGAAGAAGAAGTGGATTTCATTATTGAAGCTATTCAGTTGGTAGCTAGAGAGGGCTGGAAGTTATTACCTCAATATATTTTTAACCCAGAAACAGGAGAATGGAAACATCGTTACCACCAGGTAACTTGCAAGTTTGAAGATATTTAACATACTAAATTTTTCAACTGTATTGTTAATTATGGAAGGAGCATTCTTTTTCAAATGTCAATGGATAAGTTAAAATTTAAGACATGCACATCTGACACATTTATATATTTTTTCACATTATTTGT